AATTGGAAATTCATAATGAGAAAATAGAAATATAAAAATTTCAAGAAAATAAGCTAGTGGTGTTATCATCTTCACAAAACAAAAATAGATAGACCGAACAGATGACAAAAGATTCTAGAGAACAAAAACATTTGGGCTCATTGCAGCTAATACTTAGCACATCATGTTTATCTCACACAAAGTAAATCCAACTCAGGTTTGACCACAAATATTTCTTCATGGATGTTACTGATTAAGTTAATTTAGTAAAAAGAGAGTCAATTAAAAGTGTTTAAGGAAATATATGACGAGATCACCAGAGTCTAGACACCCTTTTCAGTCGTGGAAATTTAAGCAACCACAAATATGGATAAATGAAATTTATGGGCAACAAATAAAGCATTTCTGCATTTTAAACAGTATTCTCTTTAAATAGAAACACTAAAAGGTTAGGACTTCTATACACTCTGTTGCAAAAATGCTTCAATGATTTTCACCATTTAATATCTCTTTTATCTATGTCAGATACGGATAATTAGTGCTCATCGAGAAAATAATATGCATAGTTAAAAGTTTACAACCTATGTCCATGGTGTGAGTATATCTTGGGATTGGCAAACCTAATTTGTCTTACCGAACGGATTTATCATTGAGGATTGATTAAATTCATTTCGGTGCACATTTCTTTTGGTGTAATCATAGCACAAAAATGTCAGGGAGCACCTAGTGACAAGGAAAGTCCAACGAATTCGACACTGCCTCTAGGACACAAATTTTCTTCGGACCAAAGCACAATAAACAAAATCATCCACTTCTTAACCAAACCACCCCGACAAACCCGACAAAACAATGATGAACAGAGAGTAAAAATTAGGTAGCAAAACCAAAATGGAAGTTTTATAGGAAAACATGTAAGAGTAATGTAATCGATTACAACAAACCAACATATCAATAAGGGAAGAATCCAAAATGAAAAAAAAGAACGAAATATCACCTTTGTTCCTAAATCTGTCAATGCTATTGCCATATTATTCTTTGCAATCTCAAAGTTTGGCGAAACAGCAAGACACCTGGTAAAGCATAGCAACCAACCAAGAAACGCATCAGCATAGATCATCAAACAGATTTACAGTTATATATATGCAAGCCCCAACTTAGTTATATATGCAAGCCCCAACTTAGACTGACAAGAAGAATGCAAACAGTAGACTACCTCTCGTAGCAAGCAATAGCAGACTCCAAGTCACCACGATTCTTGTAAATAACACCCATGTTGCAATATGCTTCAGCATACATCGGCCTCTCCAATGCAGCCTTCTCATAGCAAGTAAGGGCCATGTCAAATTGCATCATTTCGGAGTAGACAACACCAAGGTTATAATATGCAGGCTGCATTTCCAGAGTGAGGTAAGAATACAAATTTGTAAGAACAGTAAACAAGAAAAATAAAGGTTAAAAAGGGGGAAGGAGAATATTAAATTACAGCATAGTGCGGATCTGTCTTCAAAGCTTCATAATACTTCTGCAGTCCCTCTTGAGTATTTCCGGCAAGCTTTAAGCTTGTTCCAAGATCGGTCAATACAATGGCTAGGCATTCCGCTGCGGGTTTGTAGGACTGATCTGCTTTTAGAGCTTTTTGATAAGACTGTTCCAAGAAAAATTGAATAGTAACTGGTAAAATTTCATAACTTCAATCATAAATAATCATTCATCTAAGCACAAAAAAGTAGTAGAAAACAGATCAAGAGAAATACTGTTTCTTTTCTTTTCCATAAAAATAGAAAGTTAAGTAACAGGATCATGCCTCGGCAGCTTCCCTTAGACGGCCCTCGTCTTTGTACAAAATTCCACAATGTGTGTGAGCGCATGCATTCTGCGGGTCCAACCTGATGGCTTCTGCGAAACTGTCAAAAGCAAGCCTTCCCATATTCTTCATCTGCAAGCATATTCCTTTTCCAATATGAGCCTCCACGTTTCCGGGATCTTTCTCCAACACAGTCTCGTAAAGACTTAGAGCATCAGAAAACTTGTTCCTCGAACGAAGAATGTTGGCATAAGAATGAGCATCTTTCACTTCAAACACTTTCCCTGCCGGAACTCCAACAACCATAGAACCACTGGTACTAGGAGGAGGCTGCGAACTATCCAAGAATCCATTCTCTCGAGCCGGCTCTCCATTTGTCACATTATCAACATCTTTCTCCGTCCATGCCATTTGCGTATCGATAAAAGCTCCCTCTTTTTTGGAACAAAACCAACCTACAAACAAATTCGACATAAACATTCAGTTCTAACAGCAAACTTGAAATTCAAAATTTCACATAAGCCAATCCAAAACCCAAAACATTGAAAATTCAGTACAATTCTGACTTGGACAAAGGCTCGAGAAATTGACTCTCACAACTAAGTTAGATAGCCATGTAGCAGCATTACCATCAAAACAAGTCCCTGCAAAACCTAATTACCTATTCTAAACACCCCCATTAATCACAATTCCAAACCCTAGTTAAATTAGGTCGATCACAGTCAGCCACTCCACTGAAACCACCCGATCATTGAGTAATCAACCAAACCCCAACACACCGAGATCACGTACCGATAAAAAGACATGATTTTTTACAACATAAACACGATATTAAACTGAAAACACGGGATTAAGGAAGAAGTAAAACGAGAGGGAAAAATAAATAAATGGAAAGCTGGGAAATTTGAAGCGTACAGTTGGAGCCGGAGGAGCTCCCTGCTGTGCCGAAACAGAGCGAGAAATGACAGGGATCAACGGCTGAGATTAGGCCACGGCTATGGCGTCCGCCGAAGCCAACTCAGAGCTCCATGGTAAATGGCCACTTGTAGCTAGAGAGAGAGAGAGAGAGGAGAGAGAGAGAAAGAGAGTGGGGTTTTACCGTTTTACGGTAAAAAGTAGAGAAACCCTGCGTCGGCCTCTCGGGCTCTCTTCAGACACAGAGGTCGAATTGACTGTCTCAGAAAACCCAGGAGGAGGAGGAGGGAGAGGGGGGAGAGAGAGAGTGTGTGTACCGTTAATAACAACGTTTGTGAGTGTCTTTGCATTTAACCCTGTTTTTGATCGGTATTTTCATTTATGCCACTGCGCTAAAAGTGAGTCTTCAGACCGCGCAAAACGCAAGCGACTCGGCGACTCGGCGACTCGGCGACTCGGCGTGTGAATTACGGCAGTGTCATAGTCGGCAAGCCCCAAAAAGCCCTGGACGGAATGAGATCTTTGGCTTTCTTCCATTGTGGCCAATGTGATCTGGCTCCACAGGGCATATTTGGTGTTTTACATATTAATTCTGATAAAGTATTTTTAAAGAAAAATGAAACATGAGCGGATAAAGAAAGTAAAAGAAAGTTACGTTACAAGATATATTTGTCTTAAAAATAAGTAAAATTCATTGAAACAATGTATCAAACAATCAACACTCGCTTGTGTTAGCAATGTGATTAGTAATGTAACGCACAAATTAGGATCATAATGGTTTTGTTTGAAAAAAAAAATTGAAAAATTCTTCAAAATCTTGTTAAGGTAGATTGGGTGAGCTTGACTACTCTTGTCCACTGTGGGCAATGTGCTCCGGGTGTAGGGGTATAATTGCCAATTGGTATTTTCCCCTTTACTCCACCAAATATTATCATAAATAAAGAAAAAAAGAAATCTTAGTGAATAAAGAAAACAAACATTACATGTGCATGAAAAAAACGATAAGTGACGTAGATTGTCAAACACATATTTATTTTTAAAAAAACGAAATCAGATGAAATGAAACAGTAACATATGCATATCACGTTTGTGTACGAGACATTAAATCATTGTAACAGAAGTGTGGTATGCGTGCATGTTAGGAACGTGATTCATAATGTGACGTACGAGTAAATGTTGAATGGTATTATTGGAAGAAAAAAAAAATGAAAGAAACAAATCTTCTAAATGTTTCACATGCAACTATACTGTTCAGTCGCTATTTTTCTCCTAATCAATGTCCTCTGCGGTGATAGAATTGATAGCGGAGTAAGTGACCTTCGGTAAAATGGGAATCATGTGATGATGTTACTACAAATTGCATACCCTTCGACTAGACTCAAGCCTAATATATCGATACTGTCATCTCGATGGATCGTGACCATTACGGGTTTAGAAATGTTAAACGTGTGTTGGCAGCTATCGCTGGTACGACTTTTCAAAACTTTGCCATTTTATATAAGCATGTGCCTAATTCGTTGTGTATATGTTTGATCTCACATTTAAAACTTAGTCAAAGACATTGAATTGTTAGGTCGTTATTAGATATTTTACAGGCGCTTCGGAATATAAAACATCGAGAATCAGATCAAGGTGGATGATGCGAATATGTTGTAGGGTCATGCAAAATCAATGTGTCTCAATATCAAAAAGCGGTCAGCAAGCAAATTCAATCAATCTTAATGTTGAAAGTTGGGTCCTGAGGAAAAGAAAACATGCATCAATGTGCGTCTCCCGACCCACACTACAAAAAATATGGGCACTGCGCACAATAAATTATATGTGCCCTTTGAGGCCAAAGAGCACCAAGACATGTGCCCATAGACCAATAGCAACAGTGCAGCTACTAAGTTTGTATCTGTGCCCTCTATGGGCGTCACCATTGCTAAAAGGGCACAATTCACTGTTTGGTGCTCAAAGAGGCAGACACAAATGGACCATTATTTGTGCCTGTTTCTGACAACTTTATCAAAAGACCTTTTCCAGCCATATTGACACTTATATTATAATTGTGCCAACAAGAATTAAATATTAAAAAAAAATCAAAATTGAAAAAACTGAAACTGAATTGAGGTAATTATTATTATTATTTTTTAATTTTCATAAAATGTAGAAAGCCTACAACACATTCTCAATCTCAGAAACATATATTGTAATGTTACATATTTCATCTCTAATGCAAAAAGAACTTGAAAGCAGACATTTTTGGACAAATGCATCTTCCCTAGCAAGCCTTGCACCTCATCAGAAGCTAAAACAAAATAAGTCCAAAATTACACCTAAAAAGGAGTTGGTTAAAATCAATACGTAAAAGTTCCAGATCTGCCATATCAAAGATTCACCTCCTTTTCCAACTTGGTGGATGGTGCAATCATCCTCCTGAAATCCAAATGAAAGTGAAAATGAAATTAAAAAAATAAACAAAGAAAGGACCTATTTCCAGTCATGTTCAAGGACCAAAACTTTCAATCGGCATTAAGAACTCAATAGCAGTGATGCATTGCTACTTTGTTATACCAAATTACAGTGAACAAAATATGCAACTAAATTAAGCAGCTAAACCATCATTACCAGCAAACAAGATGTACAAAACAATAAAAGTTTGGACAATCATTGTTATGACATTAATTTCTAAGAAAGATAGAAACTGCTAAGAACCTTATAGGCTCTACAACGCACAAGCTAATAAATAAGTATTTTCAAATCTAATTTTTAGCTTTAGTGAAGTCTTCCATGTTTCCATACGGAAAGATAAGATTCATGGAGCTGTTTAGTTTCTTAAGACTGTATGTTTCCTCACTGTTCGGTCTCTCCTAAGAGCAACCTAAACACTTAACTACAACTAAAAACTTGCAACAAAGCCCTCAAGTGGGTACTTGTAGGCTGTACCAATGTAATATATAGTCCATCCCTCTAAAATCCTTCCCCACTATTAGTTGTGTATAAACAGTTAAGAAGCTACAACATAACAATAGCATATGTTCATTTCTAACAATAAAATCATCCAGTAAGAAATGTACTCCTTATTAGACATCGTAGTGTTTTAGGGAGTGAAAACTCAAATCCGATCTTGACCTTTTATTATCAACATAATGTGATCATCAAGAAGTTAAATGAAGATAACAAATTAAATTTATGTTCATTTGCTAATAATGAAACAAGTAACAAACATACTTCATAAGTGACGTTTATTTGCCCTAATTGTCAAAACCACAGCTTTCCTGCAAGGCATCAAACAAGAAACCTCTTTTCCTTGAAAGTGAAAACAGTTAGGAATAAAAAGGAAAAATTGATGGGCATGGTAACAATACAAGAAATCAATACAATGCAATGAGACAAATCCGACAAAATTCACACCGAATGCCACATGAATTTTAGTTATGGAGATTTTGAGAAAGACTGAAAATTCATCATAATGAAAATCTGCTTATCAATGAGAGTGCACAACATTGTAACATTAGATTCAGAAAATGGTTTTGATTGGTTTTGATAGGAAGCATTGTAAGTTAATCCCAAACATTTAATTCATGCTTCCAAAATTAACAAATTCTACAATTGCAAGAGAAACCCTAATTAAATATCTTAAATGCCAAAACCAAAAACTGCCCTTATCTGTTGGAAAATAAGATCCTACCATCTTCTCTATATTCTCCACCACAATTACATTCTCATATCTGCATTACCAAACACATAAAAACAGGGCAATCAACTCTCCATCCAAGAAAACAATACAACATTGTTATGACATTATCTTTCCATTAGCTCCACAGACGAACTAATCTGGATGATATATGCAACATTTGGACCTCTCATTGCCAAAGTCATGACTAGTATTAAAAAATTAAAACCATCGATCTAATTCATTAAATTTGATCAACAAACAGAACACACAAATGTAGAACTACAAAAATTGATAGAAGAGAGACAGGGAGGTACATGAAAATTGTGTACGATAGGAGCGAGTCTCCAAGTGAGTAAACAGTGACGTGCACACAGAAAGTAAACAGTGATCAAATCAGCCAAAAAATAATTCCAATCGAACCATAAAAAGGCCGAAATTAACAATTCTGATAAGTAATCGAAGAACAACAAAATCAACGAAGCAGCACAACGACAGAAAATAGAATCCCAGGCGAAGAGAAATAGGCGGCGACAAACGAACTAACTCGAGGTATGCAAGAGAGGAAAACGGAAAGAAATATCTAGAACAACCGAAGCCAAAGCACCCAGTGATGAAAGACACGTAGAAACATAAGGGCAAAACGGTCTTGTTACTGTAGAAAGGCAACACCAAAATGGAGAGGACGAAAAATTTTGAGGGGCTGTTTCGCCATTTTACTGCTCTAGAACAGTACCAGGGGAGTTTGAGTTTTAGTATATACTAGAAATTTGCACCCGTGCGATGCTACGGGATTGAAAATCATATGAGATATTTTGCTAAACCTTATAATGAACGGAACAAATTAAGATACCAAAAGAAAAATTAAAAATCTATTTTTTCAATGTGCAAAGAAGAGAAATTGTTTATTCAAAAAGTTGGACCAATGATAAAATTACAAATGCAGTATTGAGAGTATATCAGTCAAACAAATCTTGCTACATGCTAAACAATGTTGAAAAACATCATTAGCCTTTTCAAGTGTTAAATGCCATGAATGTAATTGGATACCAGATTTGCTCCCAGCTTGAGGTGCTTCCAAGGAAAAATTGACCTTTTGCTGCACTCTCTTGGACAGTTGTGAATACAACTGCAAAAGATAATAAAGATAGCCAATGATTCAAAAAAAAAAAATGCATAAGAAGTTCAAAATTGAGTTTTGGGAGAGAGTGGAGAGAGAGAGAGTGAGAGAGGTGAAGTGACCTTATAACCGGAGATCAAATGTATTTTTTTTCTTATTATTGAGGTGGTACGACTTGTGAAATTCTGAAATCAAACATTTAAATAAAGTTTAATCAAAATTTAGTACGAAATGTTAATTAGAAATGTGTTACAATGGAAGCAAAAAAGATTGAAACTTGCCTAATGTGATGTGTACAATTTTACCATATGTTAGTGAAAAATATACCACTGTGACATGCCATATGTTTGTCTTGCCTTCTTGGAAGTAAAATTAGTCGTTGATTGCCAGGTGGTATAAATCTGTACAATATACCTTGGTGGAGTAATTATGTGTATGAGTTTCTTATATTTATCATCCATGTTATGTGAAAAGCTGATTCCAAGTTCTGCAGAAAGTCACAAAAAAATGAAATATAAAATTGGAGTGAAGATTCAATAGTACAAATTTACACTTCTAAACATATAATATTCAAATAAAGAAAATTTTGAATAAAGAGGCACTAACATTTCAACGCCCATTGTTTGGATGAAATGAAATTCTCATAAATTTGTGGCAAATCCTCGATGATATACTCCTAAAAGATTAAAAACATATAATTTTAAACAGAAAAAAGGTACAAAAAATACCTCAATAAATTGATTGAGGTGGATGATCACAGCATTTTCTCTTCCCTTTATCCACGTACTCTTTACCCACGTTCATGCCTATACAATGCTCAAACACAACCCAAATTAATTCAAAGGAAATTTGCACAACTCAAGAGAAATTAATTAATTCAAATAATTATTCACTTCCTCACAACCCAAATTAATTCAAAGGAAATATGCACAACCCAAATGAAGAGATCAAACTCTAATTCTCTCAAAAAAGCCATTATTCCTCATGCCACCTTTCTTTTTGGCATCCTATCCATTCTGTCAGCAACTGATACAGAAACAAATAAGTCCATAAAACAGAAATATACCCAAGAAGTATACGTACACAACCCAATACCTGAAAACTGAACTCGAAAGCTGGATTATGCTGCCGAAGTGAAGCGCGAAGTTACTTTTCCGTTTTAGGTCCGCAAATCACAGTTTGCAGCTGTCCTGATTCATACCATTTTAAATTTGACATTTGCTTCAATCTGTATCATGTGTCTATGGACATTTAGTTGTAATGATAAAACTCAAATCTCTCCTACGTATAAAAAGGTTGAGTAAGCAGCCAAAACAACAGGGCAATCAAGCAAGTGGTTGCAGGTAAACAAAGTAATTTATATGCAAGCAGCGAACGTATATCTACATCTCAAAATGAAAATTTCACCTGGTGATCCAACCTATTAGCATCAAAGTAAACTTTCACTCTGAACTCCAACCGTATAAATAGATATCGCCTTCACCTTTGTTCATTAGTTTATACTCATAGTGCCTATTTCAATAACCCCAAATCAGTTTTAAAATATTTTAGGTATAAACACAAAATTGGGCATAATGAAAACTAAACCAATGTCTGAATTGCTTACCTAAGTGAAGAGGATTTTGGAAAACGGAGCGAGGCTGCTGCGGCGTTTGACCTGGCCTGAAATTAGTTAATTACCCAGATGAAAAAAAGAAATATAGAGTGAATTAAAAGATTTGTCACAGAGCTTACCTCTGCAGTTGTAGCAGTCTACAGATCCCAAAGCTTAGAGATGAGGCCTGCGTGAACTGGTGGCAGCGATGATCGAACTTGTCGACGACCCGGCACCGGAATCTCTAATTTCAGCACCAGCTACAACTCCCTTTCGCCACTGGGCAAGTGAGTCCGTCGGCCAAAGCACCTGATGAGAACAAAACGCTGGCCAACAAAGGGTTCGTCACCGGAGAAGACCGGAAACAAAACACCCAATAAAATCAAACAAAGGGTTGCACACCGGAGAAGACCCGAAACCAAATCCAAAATAAAATTAAAGTCAGGATCTCTTCTAACGACTATTCTGCGAAGAAAGAGCAAAGATTTGGCAGCAAAAGAGGGAACGATGAAGAGGGAGAAAATCGCACAGCAAGGAAGGTGAAAAACAAAGAGGAAAGGTAAAGTAGAAAAACAAAGATAATGGAGAGAAAGAAGCGAACGGAAAAAACAACGAAGAAATCGAAGGAGAAGGATCAGCGATGATAGACGCGTGGCCACCGAGGGCAATGTCGCCATTTCACTGGCCAAAAAGTGGAAAACCGGGAAACCAAGAGCAATTTGGAGGGCAAATCCGTCAAATCAGTATTGCTGAACAGTGCTCATCAACTGGGTTTTAGTATATATAATTAATTATGGGCACAAATAATATATTAGAGTCCATTTTTTTCAATAAAGCTGTCAGAAAATGTATTTGTGCCTATTTTGTTTTACAATAGGCACAATCAATGGTGCCCTCTATGAAATGGGAACTGTTTCAATCTTTTAATGGTCAAACAGGCACAAAATTCTCAATGGTGTTCTTTATTTTGTACCCATAGCTCATTTTTCTTGTAGTGCCACCAGGTTCTCTTCACCAATGTGATTTCACATTATTGGGCATGTTGTATGGAACCATTTGATTTGAGGAGTAGGAAAATGATATAATAGAGACACACCCCAAAAAGAAGAGAGAGAAGAAAAGGATGCCATTCAATGGGAAGTTGAGAGATTAAATAATAAGAGTTGTGTTTGTATTAGTCGCTCAAAAGAGATTATTTTTTATCATTTCTCAAAATAGTGGGCAACTCCTAGCCAACGATGCAAGTGTGATTTGAATTATTCTATTATTTTTTCTAACTTTCATCGTTCACTAAATTATGACAACTCCCACCCCTTGTTTATATTTGCCTTTTGATCATTTTCAATTTGTTTGATCCAACAGTCAAAATTTGTGAGGTGTGCGTGGAACGTAAAAAGTGGTGTGTGAATAACACCACCCTAAAAAAAAATGGGGCATCATTTTGCAAACAGACTGTTTATTCTTTTGAGTTAAAAAAAGAAGAATGATTTATGCACATTACAAGGCTTTCTTAAAACTAAAAAATTGAAGGTCTCGGGTTCGAAACCCGCTGCTGGTTTGGAAGCCAGACTTGTGGCCAGGGGGAGGCTAAAATGTCTCTGTAAGTCTCTCTGGAATGAGTGGATAACCGTGGCATGCCACCATTGTTCTCTTTTTTAAAGAAATTTTTTTTTATGCACATTAATTTTTCATTTCCGGCACTTTTGCTTTCAGTTTTATTCTTTGATTCTCCTTTAATTTGATTAATCAAATGACTGGAAAAAAAAAAAAAAAAAGGTGTGCATGAGGTGAAAAAACATATGTAGAAATCGCTTCTCTTATAAAAATATTTTCTAAGAGCACCTTCAAATGTTATTGATAGCTATTTTAGCCAGATACGGAACAAAGAGATTCTTCATGATTAGCGAACTAACTTGGTGACTAGTTCTGCATGAGGTGAAAACACATGTGTAGAAATCGCTTCTCTTATAAAAATATTTTCTAAGAGCACCTTCAAATGTTATTGATAGCTATTTTAACCCGATACAGAACAAAAAGGTTTCTTCATGAGTAGCAAACTAACTTGGTGAATAGTCACTAGCTAATCCAGCACAGAGGGGAGAGAATTTAATATAAAACACAAAAAGATAGCTCTTACTATTATCGAACTCTTTATAATTCTTTCCTCAAAATTAATAAAATATTCAAAATTTATTAAAATAGTCAATGTTCTTGGAGATACTAAATTAAACTCATTAACCAAAATAATTTTCAAAGTCTATTCACTAGCTAAGTTATAAAAAAAAAAAAAATGAAAGGGTTACTTAGAAATACTAGTTTGGAAGTGTCTTTAAATGACAAAAGTACTTTTGGAATTAATCGTTAATGAAAATGAAAGTGAATCTTGGAAAAATATGAAGTGTTTCCAGCAAGAAGCACATTGTTAAATAAATAGCACTTTCAAATGAATAAGTGGTGTTTCTTCCAAAATGAACGTTAAATGCTTTTAGAACCTAAAAATATTTTTTTTAAAAACCCTTTCAGTCATTTTCAAAACAATTACAAATAAGTGTACTTCTCCATATGTTCCAAGCATTTGAAAGTTGTGGATTCATAGAAGAACCAATAGGCTCACATTATGTACAGAATAAGACACTGAAAAATGGGTGAGAGGGGAGGGGGGGGGGGGGGGGTGGGTGGTGGGTTAGTTGTCAAGGCCCAAACAAATAGACTACCAAAATGGGTCCAACCGTTACGTTATGTAACCTTGCATCCTATGTTCTTTGGATACTTTGCATGAGCAAAAACAAAAATGTGTATAGGATGGTGCATGTGTTCTTTTGGGAAACTTACTTGTCTATCCATTTACAATTAACAAATCTTTATTGTCTGAATAAGGAATTGTTTATTTTCTTTATCATGAACAATAAATCATGTACGCAAAAAATAATTCAATTTGGTGATTGTTTAGTCATCTATATGTGTTAAACCAAATTAACCAATTGATAACAAATAACATCTCATGATGAACCGTCTATTTGTTTGATGCATATGAATGGCTAAAAAATCTCCAAGTTGAATAATTTTTTGCATAATGATATTCAGATGATAATAAAGAGAATGAACGGTTCAAATTATGATGTTCAGATGGTAAAAGTTCGTTAATCGTGAGTGGAGGGACCAGGGTGGATACAAGCATTATCCTTGTAAATATTGTCTAAGACCATCACTAGTGGTTGGGATAAAGCTTAAAATTAAGCTCTAGACATCCCTAAACCATCTCTAATAATTGGGCTAAAATAAACCTTGGATTGAAAATAATTCTTTGGGCTAGATTCTCTCAAGAATTAAGTGGGTTAATTATGGAACACACCAAACCATCCGTAATGCGTGTGGGCTACGCGACTAAAGCCTAAGGTCCCAAACAATTCACCACAAGCCAGATAGAAGCATAGCGGGTCCTATGCAAACAGGCTCGTCGACCACATGCCAACGGCTCTTTGTGAGCTGGGGTTGGGGGATTTATACGACCGTCGAAATAATATGACTGTTGGTTGATCCAATGATCATGATTTAAATATTTTTTTATTTTTATTTATAATTCAAAGTTATGATCAAATGGAATCAAATTTAACGGCAAAATTAGACTTGACGGTCCAAAACTAAGTCTAACAACTAAACAATTTAAAAAAAAAAATTATTTGAATCAAATTTTACTCAAAAACTCTATAAATGCCTATGTATTTATTCAAACATCTAAAGAAATTCACTTTCCCAACTTAACCACTTTTACAATCTAATCGGTGCTGTAAAGAATTTTTTTTTGCAGTGAATTTATCAGATTGTTCAATAACGAATGATTACATGAGTATACTATTCATATTACATGAACACACTACTAAGATAAGAAGCATTAGTGGCAATCAAATTTGCCCCAAAAACTTCAATTAGTGGTGGAAAATTAGTTACAAGCACCTCTAAAAGAATGAGGGGCGGATGATATTTTTGCCCCTTCAAATTGCGTCACAAATGCTAATTAGGGATGGAAAAGACCTTGCACCGCCCTAATATCACTCAAGGCACGTCAGCTTGCTGATTGACAATTAATTAATTCTTAATGAATAATATTAGGTAGATTAACTTTTTAGACTAATTTTTAAGAGAAATTTTATTTGAATACATTTAACCACTTTCCACATCCAGCTTACTCTTTGCAACTATGTTATTTTTAATTAAACTATTAATATCTCTTTAAATCTAAATTTATTACCTAAACTACCCTCACAAACCCAATTCAATATGTAATTTATCTTTACACCCATTTGAAAATAAAAAACCAAAAAACAAAGCATTCTCTCCTCTAGGGTTGGAAACAAATCCCAAAAATCCTGAACCATATCGAAAAAATCCCGAATCCAAACCGAAAAAATCCTGATACCAATCCCAAACCGATATATATATATATATATATATATAATTTAATCAGCCAAGCCGTTCCTCTGGCCAATAACCATCTTTCTTGACCACCTTTTCCATTGTTTATTCTTTCTTTGTCTGCCATCTTCACAGATTTCACTAACCATTCATTTCTTTATTTTTTATTTCTTGATGACATTAGCACTCCCACAGAGGCACAGACAACCACCTTCTCTCTTTCCCCTCACTGACTCCCTCAAATGCAGAAGCAAGCCCAAGACCTCTAAATGTTTTCTCGATCTTCAAAAGCAGCCACACCCACATCGATGAAGATCGATAGCCGATTTTGTTCGATGCACTTCTCAAAGCCCTCCAACTCTTGAAGGCAACAAAGTCAAGCCCAAGAATGAGGGGGATGGAGATAGGGTGGGGAGATCGACAAATCTGGGATGAGGTGTGGGCCGTGTAGGCTGGCAAGGAAGGTGGGAGGTCGATGAATCCCGAACCATACCGAAATTCCGAAAAAATTTCGTGAATCCCGAAATTTAGGAATATCGAAATTTCGGATCGGTTTTGATTTCTGAAACTTTGTCCTGAAAAAAATCGGTTTGGAATTTGGGATCCCATTTTCAGTTTGGGATCCCTACTCTCCTCAGACGTTACCTCCTTGCAACAGTTGTTTTTGATAGAGTTTCCATCATCCTCTACAGCATTGCTCTCGATAAATTCCAGGTTGCTTTGCGCCAAGTGTGTGTGTGTGTGTATTTGCACTTTCCATTAAGAAATAACTGCAGGCAATCAAATAATTTATTTATGGGAAAACGTATAGTTGACATTTGATGGCATGAAGTAATTTGCAGTAGCATGAAACAAAATAATAAGAGGTAGGAAAGAAGCAGCATTTCTAGCATTCTGGTCTTGAATCATGAGTTTTGGAGAAGTAAGCTGCAAAGATTGTTCTTCTTCCATTATGCTGTGAAAGGTTTTGAAATCATAAAAATTAAATGCAATTCGGACTAAAACTATGAAAGATTGAATGATATGTACCTTAGTGGAATTGATACACTAAGTTAAACAAATTGTACTTGTTTGAAATAAAAAAACTCATAAGTAACAAAAATACATGACAAGCACTTCGAAGGAAGATAGAAAATCTAGTTAAGAACAACTCTATTTGGTGAGAAAACTTATTGTTCATTTAGGTATTGTCAATTTTGGTGAAAGAGAAAGAAGCATGAACATAAACATAAAAATTGTATTGCTGATCAATTTTTTAATAACATGATTTGTACTGTGTGGTGTCATTTTCTATTAGGGTTTGCTTATTAGATGTAGTTTTATTGATAAATCCTATTTTTATTGTTAATTGTATCTTGTACTTAGTAGTAATTATGCAATAGGATAATATTGACATTTCATATTTAAAATTTAAGTTTGGTGTATAAAGATGTTATATGAATTTAAATAAAATTTCTCATTTTTTAATCCATGTAATGCGTCATCGATAAGAAATAAACACGTTAATAAATACTTAAAATAATAATCTAATCATCAACAATCGTATCTAATGATCTATAAAATTTGGTATAAATAGATGGTTTCACTATCATTTGATTCATTTCCCATTCTTAATTATGCTCCGCCCTTCCTATAATTCAAACAAGAAGGCTGTTACTTTCGCACTTTCCTTGTTTTCCGTAATAAAACGAATTAAGAATGAATATTCTTACCTGCCAGAGCCTCTGATATGGAACGGAAGGTTGAAGAAAGCATGGATGAAGAAATGGAAGAAAAGAAGTGAGAGAGAAGATATGAGAAGTGGTGTTGGCAGTGAGGACAAGAAGAAGAGTTGCCGTTGACTTTGGTGGGTGGCTGCTGGCGTTACCTGGGTTGGGATTTTGGCACAATTAAGGACTAGCCAGTTTAGTATTGTTCTACTTTAAAAAAAAAAAAAAAAACTGTTTATGCTGTATTGTGAGAAGAAACAATTATAATTTTGAGTTTTAACAATAAAGACAAAATAAAAGGTAAAAAGAATAGTACCATGATTGACTTTTTTAGTGTAAAAATGTGATTTTTCGTTAAAATAAACAATACCGAGAGTTTTTCATTAAAATTCCCAAAAAACAACCCTTAGTGAAACACAAAACACTAGCTTCAAACAACGTGGCTCTCAAAAAAATCTAAGCATATAAAAACAATTAGGGCAACCTAAAAGTGTTCTTCAAAATTTTTATATGACCTTTTCCTGCAGCATATGACTATCGTCGTTCTATGCACCTAACAAAAGTGAAATTTATTGTATTAATAGGCAATGAGGGTAAAGCAACCATAGTCTTTTATTATTACAAGCTAAATTTTAAAGGATCACATATAAACAGTTATTACTTCTTATATGAAGACGTGATATCATCATTTTACCATATAAATATCATAGTTCAAATTGCTCATTCTCTTTTTCATCATCTAATGATAATTTCTAAAAAAATTAATTTTAACTGGGAGAATGTTTAGTCTTACATATGTCTCAAACAAATGAACAATTATGGTACCAACCACAAACTTGTTTGATTTATATGAATGACGAAATGGTTGTCATATTGAATAAAGTTTTCTAGAGATGATATTTAGAAGGTGAAAAAGACAATATACATTTTAGATTATGTCAATGTTTTGAGCAATAAAATGATATTATATCGTTAGATAAAGAGCTAAACAGTAACAAGTTTTAAATGAATATAGAACAGATATGACAAACGTGATTGAAAGAGTCAGAATTAAGTAGTTGTAGCAGTACACACACACATACATATATATATATATATATATTATACAAATGCTATATAAAAAGGTTAATTAGAAAGAGTAAATGAAAACCAACCTTAATTCTATGCTTAAGTAGTCGTGCAGATTGATTGACTATTAGCTTTACCTTCACGCTCTTACCTTCCCTTCTTCTGTTTTGTTTACTGCATGCTATCTGTCTATCTCCCACGACTTAAGGAACTGTTTCCCATATTTGTAAATATATATAAAAACCCCATACAGCTCTATTCCCCGTCTCCCTAACTTCCTCTCTTATGTACATATCTTGCTTGGACATTAAGCAGCTCCCCATAACTGCCACTGAAACTTGTCTCGATCGAGCAATGTAAGTCTCTCTCTCTCTCTCTCTCTCTCTCTCTCCACCAAAAATATTATGAAGAGGAAGAATTAATTCTCATGCATGGTACGTAGGGGATTTCATTTGGAGTCAAAGAGTAATTATACGACTCCGCATGTTTTGGTACAATATTGTTGCTAAGTGTTGTAGTTAATGATTAATTAGTTCATCCAGTAAATACATTAAGCTACCCAGAAAAGAAAGGTTCGTTGAACCCAGCAAATTAGCTTAATATATAATTTAGGATTTAGAGATTTTTATACTCAACTTGTTGATTAGGTAGAGAGAATATGTTGATTTATGCCTACCCTTCCATTTTTGTTTTAGGGAGAGAAGCCCACCCCCTGGTTATACTAGACATAAGACTTAGCAACAGTTCATTTTTTTTTGCTAGTTTATGTATACCAATATGTATGTGAATTTATTTATTTATGACTAGTTCATGTATCTACAAGTAATATTAGTTATTCAACATAAATTCAGACTCACTCATGAGCGAGCATATATATATATAGTTAGATGTAATATGTAGAGTATTAAATACATTACGGTATAACAAATAAAAAATTATTGTAGCAAAGGAAGAACTCTTTAGAAGTCCATACGCCCCGCATCATGTCAAACTTTAGTAAGTAGTATTAACTCTTTGGTTCTCGATAAAAAATTTTTAAGATTTATCTTAGCTAGGGAAAAATTAGATTAAATATTAAGTTTGACGCCTATCAAAATAAAAGTTTTGATGTTTATCAAAAAAAAATTAGATTAAATATTTTTTTCACCCGATTTTTAATAAAAATTTTAATACTAAATTTAACATTATATAAAATAACTTCAAAATCACTGTTAAAATTTAATCATTTTATATATTCTTTGTAGTCAAAGAAAAAATATTAAAAAACTTAAAATGAGAAACGAATAATACCTCCCATTTTGTCTCTTTATCCCTCACTCCTTTCTAACTCTTTCGTTCTCCTCCATTTTCTATCTCTTCCGTCCACCCCAAATTCTCTCTCTTCTTTTCTCTCTACTTTTCAATCCTTAATTCTAAATTTAAATTCGGGAATAAATATGAGTATGAATCTTAAATTCAAATCTAGTAGGGGAGAAAGAAGGAGACAAAGAGGAACAGAGAAAGGAGAAGAAAAAGAAAGGAAGGTAACCCTTTCAGCAACAGAGAAAAGGAGATGCCTCCGTCATAGGTGGTGTCTAGTTGTGGTTGCTTTCAGCTGGGTTGGGCGGGGACGTTGCTATTCCATTTTCCTAAATTCCAAGATTCAATCATTCTTTATATTTATTTTAGTTAGAACTTGAAGTTGTTAAGGATATTTTAGGAATATAAGTGGATGGGAAAGAGAGTGTTTGATTTTTTTAACTTTTTATGTGGGTGAAAATATAAAGTGTGTGAAGAAATAAGACTATAGGGTGAGCATAATAACACTTTAACAGAAAGTAGCATTGAGAATATTAATTTAGTCTACTTGTACTATAGTAGGTTAAAGTTGGATCATTTAGAAGTAAAACTAGACATAGGCAAATTGGCAGCTTTCTTGGCTTTGTCAAGCAAGAGCGTGACAATAATCCAAAACTTTAAAATGCATTGAGGCTTCAAATAAATTAAAAGGTTGTTCAATATTCGACTTTAATTGACCCTCTAAAATTTACATTTACTTCCCATGCAGCTATAGAGAATAAAAAACAAATTTCAATTCCAAGCATGCAAAGACCAGCAGAGAAAAAAGCAGGTGTCCACACCTACATAAGCCAATGGCCAATCTACTCCTTAGCATGGTCAGTCCGCCATGACAAGCCTTCACGCCTAGCCATAGGCAGCTTCATTGAGGACTACAGCAACAAGGTTGAATTAGTCCAGTTCAACCAAGACACATCCGATTTCACCACCGATAACCGCCTCATTTTCGACCACCCTTACGCACCAACCAACCTCATGTTCTTCCCCTCTGAGGACACCACGAATCCTGACCTAATTGCCACGTCCGGCGACTACTTAAGGTTGTGGGAGATCCATGATGATAGGATTGAGCTCAAGTCTTTGCTGAATAGCAACATGAGTAGTGAGTTTAATTCGGCTATAACGTCTTTTGATTGGGCAGAGTGTGACACTAGGCGTGTGGCTATGTCTAGTGTGGACACTACCTGCACAATTTGGGACATTGAGAGGGAAGTTGTGGATACTCAACTGGTGGCTCATGATAAAGAAGTGTATGACATCTCTTGGGGTGGCTTCAATGTGTTTGCTTCAGCTTCTGGTGATGGCACTGTTAGGGTGTTTGATTTGAGAAACAAAGAGAGGTATGGATTACTTCACTTTTTAATTTCTTTTTTTAACGCAACTACTTATCAGAGCTACTATTGACACTTCAAAAGCGTAACCATGCAATCATCCATAATTACTAGCTAGCCATCATACAATCCTCTAGCATTAATTTGGTAACGTACTTGTGCTTCATGTGTCTTGTGACCCAAGCCTATTTTCTTAATTTATATTTGCATTAAACTTAGTTGTATTAATTATTTTTTAAACATTAATATAGATCACAAATTTTTCAACAGGTCTACCATAGTTTATGAAAACCCTACTCAAGACAGATCTTTGTTGAGGGTAGAATGGAACAAGCATGACCAAAGATTCATTGCCACAGTTGGAATGGACAGCAACAAAGTGGTAATATTGGACATCAGATTTCCCACTTCACCTCTAATGGAGCTCAAAAAACATGATGCCAGTGTGAATGCAATTTCATGGTCTCAAGGTAAGGGACACCAGATTTGTTCAGTGAGTGATGATTCAAGGGCTATGATTTGGGATGTGGTGAGGCCTGGATTTCAGTCGGAGAGTGGCGGCGATATGGAGCCGGAGATGTGGTATGGAACGACGGCTCAGATTAATCAAGTGCGTTGGTCTGCTGTGGAGTTGAATTGGATTGGTATTGGCTTTTTGAACAAGTTGCAGCTCTTGAAGGTTTAATTAGAATATTAATGGAAATTAAGAGAAAAGGGATTAGGGAGTTGACTGGGAGATGAATCCCAAATGCAAGTGTCATGACTACTATTTGTCGTGTTATTGGGGTATATACATCATCATGTCATTATGAGATGAGTGTTGTAGGAACAAAAATATATTTTCTTATATTGTATGACATACATTTTTTTTTTAACAAATGATATTATCTACACTAAAAGGTGAGGGAAGTAGGTTAAGTCTCACAATTGGTTAACAATAATGTCGTTCAAATTCGCCTTTGGCGAGAATCGAACCTAAGACCTCTCACTTATCAGTGAAGAAGAATATCACTAGACCATAGTACTGCGTATGACATACAATTGAACCTCTATAAATTAATAGCATTGAGACAAGAAAAATTAATTTAGTGAATATTAAATAGTAGATAAATTAATAATTTATTAACAATTATTAATTTATGATTAATTTAGGAAAGTGTTATTGACATTCCAAAAATCTCATTCTACACTCCTCACTAGTGTATTTTTCTTTCTTATTATAAAAAATTTGGAGTGTAGAATGAGATTTTTGAAGTGCTAATAACAATTCCCTTAATTTATCATGGTATCTGTATTTTCTTAACATTGTACATTGTATTTAATTTTTCGTTTTACGAACTTGCAATTTCATGTATCTGTTTAACTTAGTAAAATTTATGAATCCACTTATTTTTTTTCTTCCAAAAATAGATTGTTCATTGTTGAATGCACTATCATTTAATCAAGCAAACACGCTATCTAAATAAAAAAAAGCCATAGTAATAGGAAATTTGTGACATCCTGTCCCGAAACTATCGAAACGCATAGGTGAAATGACCCTTTTACCCCTAGTTTGTTTTGTTATGTTTTTGGTTACTTGGTGTGGTGTTGGCAGGTGCTGGGCCACCCACACACACTCTCATTGTTCCTGTCCCTCTCTCAGTCTCTTTCCCTGTCTCTCTCTCTCTCTCTCCCGAGTTCTCTATCTTTCTTCTTCTTCCTTCAAACTTGTACGGACGCACACACAACTACACTAAATCACCACAGATCGAGGAAACCAAGGGCACAGTCGTGATCGTGAGGTCGAGGGGAGCACGATCATATCATTTTCAGGTGAGAAACCAGTCGTTTTCACGTTGATTTCACGAACTCCGATTTGAGCACTATTCATGCAAACTTATTTTAGCATGTTTTTGGACTTTTGAAGCACATAGATGTCTTAGTGAGGTCCCAAGGAGCCTCGGAGTGCTTCGTTGGACGATTTTGGACGTCGGGATTGCCCTGTTCAAACTTGGCCGGTTTTGGAGGTTAGTGACAGGTATGATTTAGAAGTTTTTAGGCCTTAAAACTTGTTTGGACGTGTTCTACTCGTTCTAAGGTTTAATTTGGTGCAAGAAACGTGAAAAATGGTGGAAAAATGAGCGAGAAAACCCAAGTTACAGGTTTTCCGGCGACGGTGTTGGCGACCGCGCCGGAGTCTCGCCGGAGAAGGTGACGGAATATTCCGTCAGGATTCTGACGGAATATTCCTGACGCCGTTAACGAAATCTGTCAGTTTTGACGGAATATTCCTAACGGCGTCAGTTGACGCCGTCCGTGTGCACCACACGTGCCTGCGCGTGGCCGGTGCGTGTGGCCGTGCCTTGGCCGGCGCGTGGTGGCGCGTGCGGCGGGGAAAATTTTTTCTAAAAATATGGTTGTGATCCTGAGGTTGTGTAAAGCACGTTGGTATATTCAATTGTCCATTTTGAGCAATGTATGAGAAGTTATTTTGAACGGAAGGTTATGTGCTTTAAAATTAACGTTTTTATAGTATTTTCGCATATAGGTGACACGTATCCCGAGGACGAGCGTGCTCACGCGAGGCAGGGGGGCTACGACCCTTCCACATACCAGTGAGTGGGCTTTTGTTTTCCGTATATACCTATATACTTATAATTCCCAGAACTTTATAGAAATGTTTATTAGTTATGCCATTTCCTTTATATTATTGGTTGATATGCATGATTAGTGGCATATCCGTTGATTTATATATTCATTCAATGTCATATATATATATGTTGGTGCTGTGGAGGCATAGGTAAGTGCCAGGTAAGCGTTGTTTAACATTTGCATTAAATAGTGATTTGAGGTGCTTAGAGAGCTCATAACCTGCACCCCCGGTGTTAGTGCTCCCGCCCAGAGTAGGGCACAGTCCTTCACGTGTTGTTCACCTCCCGCACCATACGCTCAGCTTGGATCCAAGTTAGGTGCACAGTCCTGTCGTACAGACCACTATAGGTGGTTCCGACTCGTAGGTGACCCGCGATTATTCGCACAACCTTCACGTGATCGTAGCACTAGAGCGTTTATATGTATTACACCCATGCCTGTCGTACAGACCACTATATGTGGTTCCGACTCGTGGGCAGGTTTAGTGATTGAGATTGAGATTTGAGCTCTAGATTCATTCAGCCATACAGGTCACTTAGGGGACTCCGGCTGTCAGATGTTATGATATTGATGTGATTTATACCTGAGCACTTGCATATCATTATGAGGCTTTGACATGGCATACCTTTGAGCATGATTGGCATATTCTTGAGCATGATTGGCATATTTATACATACGTATATATGTTTATTTTCTGGGAGATATACAGGTTTTACGGCGAGGGGTTAGAACTTACTTTGCTAAATGATTTTGAAAAGCTTTATTTTTGCCCACTCACGCTTTTGTTTTGCGCCCCTCCAGGTTCTAGTAGTAGCGGGTTCGGTGGTTTTCCCAGAGGGCGTCACGGCATTTCTGACAGACATTCACCAGTGTAGGGTCACCTTCGGGTGTACTATTGTCGTATCATTTTCTTTGGACTGCTGTAGTCTTTATGCTCTGAATTCAGTCTCACTTACGCTAGCACTTATCTTATCACATTATGTATGCTAGTTTTTAAATTATTCGTACTTTTTTTTTATTACTTCCTTTAGCTTCCGCACTGTGCACTTGGCTACGTCACTTCCACGTGACGGCCAGCATGCCCTGATTTCGGTCGGGGTGTGTCAAAATTATTAATTTATATATTATGTAAGATTTATATGAATTTTTATAATGTATTATCTTATAATTTTATGAATTGTTAATTTTAAATGTTATTTCCAAATCAGGACTGATAAAAAATATTGGAATTGTTATTGGCACTCCAAAAATATTGTTTTGCAATTCAAACTTTCTATAATTAGAAATAAAAATACACTTATGAAGAGTGCATAATGAGATTTTGGGAATGCTAATTACATTTCCCAAAAATATTAATTAATTGAGATTATTAATTCATCGGGTATTTAAAAGAAAACTCAAGGCAATAAGCAGTATTCACTTGGACTTTGGGTCAGCTTGGGATTGGTAAACAATTTTTAGTTTAATAACTTATAAACCTTCATTGATGTCAAATAGACAACATATGAGCACAAACTTTGTATTAATTTTTTGTAAGTTTTGAGGTTTATAGATTCAACTTAAAATACAACCGTCCCAAATAATCACTTGAGCTTATAAAGACAAAATCATCATAAAGTTGTACTTTGATCAAAACAAAGACTACTAACACCTATTATTGAATTTATCATCTCATACATACTTTGCATATATATACTATGTTCAACACTTAAAAAAAGTAATAATTACAAGACTCAAATCCCCCAAAATAGTTATAAAAAAATAAACTGAATGGTATTTAGGAAACAAAATTGAATGGTATTGCATTATATGCAATAGTAATTTATAAGTGTAACTCTCGTGTGTGACCTTTGATTATTATTTATCAAAATTTAATATTGTTGACAAATTATTTAATGTGTTAAAATATGTAGTATGTATTATGATATAAAAGTGTTAAGAGTTTACAATTATAATAAATTTTTATGGAGATATATAAGTGCAATTGCAATACATGACAGTAGTAACATTTATATGTAGGAACACTTGAGTGCAGTAACCCAATCAGGAAATTAATGGACACCATAGCCAATCACTGGATGATATTGTTGATCCTCAATGAATGTTCTAGATGTATGCAACAAAATGATGCTTGAAGTATTTTGAATTAAAATGCACTTCTTAAACTATATATAAACTAGAATGATGTCACATGCTCTTTATGTGTTAAAATTTAAAAAATTGAGTAAAGAATTGAAAGATTTGTAATGAGATGAACGATTGAAAAAAAAAATTGAAATAAAAGTGAAAACTATTCAAAAGTGAGATCCTAGGAAGAAATAAAACAAAAAACAAATGGCAAAATTTCACAATTCATATCATCCATTGATATTAAAGTTATTAACCAAGTTGTAAATAAAATAAATGATATTTATAAGACATTTTGTTTTAAGCCTTGTAATATTTAATCAAACAATATATTTTTAATTAAGAAGTAATTTTAGGAATTTTAAAAAAAAACCCGCGGTAATGTTCACTTTAACGAAAAATCACATTTTTATATTAAAAAGTCAATTTTGATACTATTCATTTTACCCTTTATTTTGTCTTTATTATTAAAACTCAAAATTTTTAAGTAATTTTCATTAGTTTCCTGTAATTTTAATCTTTAGATATTTACGTTTGGCATTTGAATAACTATCCATCCCCTTGTGCTATCTACATTGTCAAAGTATCTTACTGCCGTCAAACTTTACCCGGCAAAAGGTACAAAGATTCCAGTTATTTAACTTTTATTGTAATTTTGGGCCTGAAACCGAAGACCAATTGAAGACCGAGCCTTCAACTCTGCAAATTTTCGAGCTCATCGTTTTGCTTCTTTGGTCGCGATTCACGAACACGAAGCTTCTTCCGTCACTAACCCCTCTTCTCTTCGATGGCGATGACCATTGAGGGTACAGTTCTTAGCCCACTCTGTTAATTTGTTTTCCTCGATTATTTACAATAATTTTGTTTTTGGCTGGACGACGAAAATTATGCACAATTTCGTTGAATAACTGCTGAAATTTTACTTCTTTATTTCTGTTTTTTGGTCCAATCCATTTCCCCCTAAAATTTGGAGAACTGTAAGCGAGTGGGCTGGAGCTGAGCATTCTGGAATTGTGCTCGAATTAATTAGGGTTTCATATATTTGATCACTTTTATGATCCGAAAACACCAAAATTTGAGTTCCTCTCTTTTTCATTAGAAGTTTTATGATTGTTAAGATTCTTCCAATTCTCAGAATTTTTCTCACTTGAATATTTGATATCCTATCAGAAGTGGTTACTAGTATCGATTAGAATTTAGCTTTAACTTATTAATGTGGAAGCGTAAATGGGGAGCTTGGATTTCGATCATGATCACCATATGAAAATTAGGGGATTTAGTTCACAAAATTTGAAGCAGTGCGTTGCTCGACTTCTCATATGCTACGAGCGTGATGTCCTTCGAGTATATATGTCATGCAATTGTGTTTTTGGTTCAGTTTTCAGTCATGCTTTGATGGGATTGAGTCCTAACACTTTTCTGTTTTGGCATTGTTCCTCCCCGTATTGCTGATGGTTCGTGTTCTTTGCAGTGTAAGTAGGAATCTAGTTATGTGAATTTATCTATGTTAATGAAGCTAGTAAACACATTTCTGAAGTAAATTTCTTGGTGTACAGGCTTGCAGGACTTGCATTTATGTTTTCAGCAAGCATCTTGTTACAAATCCTGGTATTTTTCTTTTATTTATATTTTAATGGCTTGACTGGTTGTGAGCTTGTGGTTGTTAAATGCTCTAAATTATTTTGAGAGGTGTTTGCCTTGTACTCCAAGGCCTACAGGTATATGTGTCTGTCCAATTGCAGTTATAACCTAGTATTCTATTATGTCATGCATACTCTTCCTTAAAAATATGCTGTTTGCATCAAGAATAAGGCCCATGCTCACACACACACGCTTTTATCTTCATGAATGATCCTACTTTTTGAATTCAGAAGCGGTGTGCTTTTTCTTAGCTCAACTTCTCTTCTAATGTGGGTCATTAAGCAGTTGGCATATCGCTGTTCACATTTTTTAGTAACCCTCTTTCGAGAAAAGTTAAGCTAGAATCTGGGATAATTCCCTGGAAGAAAGTTAGGAACAAGAAGCAGATTGATGAGTATTCTCCTTGTTACCTGCTCACATTGGAGTTGGAAGGATTTTGTAGATTTGTTCCTCGGTTTGTTTAATGATGTCAAAGTAGTAAGAGGCCATTTGTGCATTGAAGTTTTATTACAGCAATCAATAATTCTTGTGTGGATTAGATTTTTTTTCTCTTCTTTTTTTGATATAGATGGCCATGTAGCTTGTTACCATGACAAAGTTATAGAACCCTAGTGGCACAGTGTTGTTGAAGTTGCCTTTCCTTCTGAAAAGGGCTATTGTATCGCTTGCTCTACTGACAATAATGCTTGGTGATATGTCACCAGATTAAGGGAGGGAAAGGTTTTGAACTTAACTGCCAATTGGATCTCAAGTGTCTTATAGACTTATATGCTTACTCATTTACTGTATGTTATTATGATTATTTCCTTTAATGTGTGGCAGGCTTGTGCATTGTACAACAATTGGTGGCCGATGTTATCTGGTGAGAGTAATATAAGTAATGTAAGTTGTTTATTCTACTTGGTAGTTATGTTTCTTTGAGTATCAAGTGATGTGAATTTTGATTATTTTTGTAGCTCTGATGTACGTCGTGGTACCCATGCCTTGCTTATTCTTTGGTGGCGGTTCTACTCAGTTTTTGCTTACGAGGGAAAGTGATGGGTGAGTCTTTTTGAGATCTTACGTAATAAAAGTTTCTTCCTTAATGTAACCCTCATATCTAATATACCCTGTACTTATAACATTGTTTAGCTTATAGATAGTGCATAGTATTTTTATAATGCCATGATACTGGTGTGCCATGACACTAGTGTGTCGTGGACCAATTTATTTGTCTGCCTGTGTGGTGGAACTCACAACTAGATCGAACCAGGTTTTTTTCGCTCATTGCCATGTGTGGATGATTCATGAAGATAAGGGCAAGGATAGCTCATTCTAGAAATCTGAGGGAAATATAGTTCATTCTTGAAATCGGGTTTATAGATAGAGTAGAACAAAGCATAAAAGTACACATTGAAATATTGCTGAAAGGGAGGGCCAATTTAAAAAGATCAATCCTTTTAACACACCACCACCACAACAACAAAGGCTTATTTCATTAAGTGGGGTTGGCTGCATGAGTCCTAGAACGCCGTTGCGCTTAGTTTTGCGCCAAGTCTCCCGTTAGCTCCAAGTACTCTATGTCTTTTTCTTAAAGTCTATCCATGTTTTCCTAGGTCTTCCTTTACCTGCACCCAACCCCAAACCACCCCGCCCCCCTCGGGGGGGCGCCGGGGGGTGCCACCACCTTAACAATCCTTTTAACACAGCAGTAAGTAATTATTTATGTAAGTAGTGATGTTTACCCTCCGAGTAAGCTATAACCAATAGCCCATGGAACTTGTGTCACTGGTGAACTGCTCTTATGAAGAATCTCTACCCTCCTTGTTTTTCTCTTTATTTTTGGGTGATAATCTTAAGTGACTTATCATATTTGTTTGTTTCTTGTATTCTTTGTATTGCAGGTGGATAAATGCTGCTAAATTCCTGACTGGGGCATCAACTGTTGGGAGCATAGCCATTCCCATCATTCTTAGGCACGCTCATATGATTGAGACACCTGCAATGTGGATTGAATTCTTTTCATTCTTCATATTTATCTGTACTGTCATGTGTTTCCACCGTGCTAGTCTCGAAGATGCGTGGTGATTAGCGCTCAAAAAGCCTAGGTTCTTATCTACTGACTGGTAATTGTTGCGGCCACCATTGATGTAATATAAGTTAATAATTGCAAGTTTGATAATGCATGCGAACGGGAAAGGAACGTAGCCTTTCCCACTTTGTAGATGTGATCTCTATATATATGTATGTTCAAACTTCAAAGACCCTTTCTTCAATCAATTTGTATACGTTGTTCGAAGGTATCTTGATCGGTTTTGCCTTTTACTTGATTTGGCAAGGACGTTAGTTTCTTTGTTAATGTGGGATTGTTTGTGTATGTGATCGTCTAATCTTGGAAATTGCATTTGCTATTCAATATTATTTACTTGTGATCTTGATCTTTAGCAAGTGATTTCACGCTCGTTTCTCCTTTTGCACTCTTACCTCTTGTTTGTGTCATTTGGTTCTTCTTTGATTTATACAATTCTGAAGTCGAGAAACGAGGCCACAAACACCACAATTTGATGGTATTTCTCTGTTTTGGTAAGTGAGAGGTATCTTTATGAAGGACGAGTTTGGTATCAAGTTATTACTAGGTCATTTTGAAGCGTAGCTCCATTTTCACACGTATCGTTGTATAAAAAGGTTGAAAACAAATCGAGCAATAGATGTGAAACCAATTAGGTCTTGTCCGGAACTATTTGTAAAATAACTAAAACTGCTTTTAGAGAAAAGGTTTTTGCGTTCCAAAAACACTTAAAAGTGTATTTTGCAAGAAGCACTCAGTATGTGCTTCTTGCATGAAGCAATAAGGTGTTTTTCCATAATTCACGTGTCATTTTATTAAAGATTGATTCCACAAATATTTTCACCAAAGTGCTTTCAACTATTTTAAGAGTACTTTCAAATGAATTGGGAAGAATGTTCCACTTCAATTGCCAAAAGAAACAAAAATGGAAGGACCATTTCATAATTTGACTTTTCATTTAAGTCTTTGGGCTGACGTCTATTGGGGCGTTAGTAGGTTGACATCATGGGCCCTTTTGTTGGTCTTCCCACTTGCAAGGGACCGAGAAGACCAAAGTCCTCGTGTCTCTGCCACCAACGTGATTTATTGCACGTTTTGAGTCTTGACTAGAGTAAAGATTGATTCATGGGCACATGGCCGCAGAAAAACAAAAATAAAAACAAAAATTTCAGACTTTTCTTTTTTGTTTTTTCTGCTACTTTGTCAATTTAATTTAACTTAATTTTTTTTTTTTTGGGTTTCCCAAGGTGTTCTTAGGCAAATCCCAGCACTAATCATTCGAGGTAAGGTCGGGCGCATGTGCGGGGACCTTTCCTAAGAAAGTTTTCCAAGGTGTCAATTTAATTTCTTCTTATTTGGTATAGATTTCAAAATGGGGGTATATTCAATTGAGAATTTGAGAGATTTTAATAGACTTATAAATTCATGGATTTTTATGGAGTTTAACTAATTTGTAGAGATTTCATGTAAAATTTTAATTTAATTCCCTCAAAATTTCATAGGAAGATGTGAGATTTGTGGATGCTTAAAATACACTACAAAATCTCTCCAATTCCCTCTAATTCCTCGACTTTTCGATATTCTTTAAATTCAAATTCTAAGTGAATACATCCGGATTTCTAAGGATTTTAATATATTATCTTAAAGTTTGAATACACATTGAATTTTAGATAATCAATTAAAATCCTGATTAAATACCTCTGGATTCATTAAAAGAATTAAAATCCCTTAAAATCTCAATTGAATACACCATCCAGGGGTGATTTGAGAGACTTTAATGAATTTATAAATCCATGGGTTTTTTATGGAGTTTAATTGATTTGTAGAGATTCCATATAAAAATTTGATTCAATTCCCTCGAAATCTTAAGGAGAGAGATGAGATTTGTGAATACTTAAAATATACTACGAAATCTTTCCAATTCCCTCTAATTCCTCAACTCTATCAAATACTTTAAAATCAATTTATAATTGAATACACCTGGAATGTTATAAACTTCTTTAAAATCATAATTGAATACGTCCAGATTTATAAGGATTTTAATAAACTATTTAAAACTCTAATTGAATACACTTTGAATTTTAGAGAATCATTTAAATTTTGATTGAATACTCCTAAATTCATTAAAATAATTAAAATTATTGAAAATCCCAATTGAATACATATTCGGGACGGCTAGGATCAATACCGTAAAGCATTTTTCTAGACAAAATCAAAATACATGACGTTGTATATTATCGACTTGGAATGCTATTGATATGTACATAGAACGGATTTGTAATTTTGAAAGTCGAAAGAAATCAAATTTTCTCTCTCCTCGAACTCTTTTTTTGAAGAAAGTAAACTTTAATCAAATCTCTCTCTCTCTCTCCTTCTAATCCATCTTTTTCGGTCTTATCCTTAACACGGTGTGTTTCTCCGCAATTTTCCCACCCGTCACTTTCTCTCCCTTTTTCATTGGCAACAAGAAAAAAAAGGTTTCTCTGTTTGAAACTTTTGATCTAGTCGCTGGAAAGCCCTGAATTCATCATTTTCCAATTTTCTTTCATGTTTCTAACATCAACTTTTTACTATGGGATTAAATTAGGGTGTAATGGTCTATGTGTTTCAGTAGTTTATTCACTATTCTTTTGTACAATTGAATCCCATGAGTTACTATGAGACTCGAACAATGTCCAATTTTTTGCTCCTTCTATATATGCAAGTCCTTCACTTAAAATAGATTACTTAGAGCATATCTAATAGGAGATGCAAAATGCCTTCAGTGTATTTTATTTTTTTGCTGGCCGAAAAATGGTAAATGAAAACTGAAAGTTTTGCAATTTTTTACATCTTTTGGTGGTAGGTAGGTCCCGCCAATCATAGAGAGAATTAAATAGAATTTCAAATTTATCTCTCACATTGAAGTAAAATTCTCATTTACATCTACCAAAAACGTAATACGCGATGTAAATATAGTTTTTGCATCTCCGAATTGAAAATACTTTGAAAGTAGTTATAATTGTATAGATTTGCAGTTTGCAATTGAAATTATTAAGGGCATTCATCTAGGTACACAAAAGTTGTGTCTCATTTAGCATTCTCTCAAGAGAAATGCTAAGGAGACTAAAAAAGATGGAACTCTTTATGAACTCTTTGTATCATGTTTTTTTGCATAATATTATATAATGTTAGTACGGTAATTGATGTTAAACTCTAATGTGTTAAATAGTCTATAAAAAATCTCACTTTTAAAAAAGTTCCTTAACATTTCTTTTTCCTAGAATACCACTTTTTTTTTTTTTTTTCCTTTCCTTTTCAAAAAGTAGAAATATCATGGGGATTGCTTCAATTTTTTTTTTCTTTTTCAAAAAGTGGAGTATCATGGGATTCCTTTTAGGGTTTATCACTTCAAAAGTTTAAAACCCTTCATTCCATCAACATTGTTTGCGTTTCGTGCTTAATCTTTCTTGATTATTGCGAAGCGACAAAACCCTAATGTGGATGACAGAATCATGCTTTAAAGTTTAAAGTCATACGCCTTAATCACTTTTCCGCTGCTTAATGCCTCTTTTGTCAATTCCATGACCGACTGGAAAAACCAAGTAAAAGTTTAGACAGAAAAAGCATAAACAAGAAAAATCATAGCTAGTACTTAATTTCCTACCTACATGATGTGGTTTGGTATGATCTGATTTGACTGTCGTGACATATGTTTATTTCTATTTTGTAACTGTCTAATGTTTTAAAAAAATTTTGTTTACCGCTAGACGGTTGATCACCTTTATAATTAATTTTTAGACGCTTAAAAGAAAAGGATGCTTGAACCTGCCTAGGCAGGCCTGACCTATCTAGACGTCCCCAAGGTCGTGACTTTAACTTAAATAGAAAATATATAACTTTTATTTTTTGTTTTTTATTTTCTTAATAAATAATAAGAGATTTGTTGGATAAATACTCATTACATACATGTTCCTCATATTTTCTAGTACTTAAAAATTTATAAATAATTATATTTTGCAACTTTTGTATACGATTATATTTTTTTTTAAGAATAAGCAAACATGAATTTAGATGTTATATAATAAACTTAACCATAATTAAAAAAAAAAATGCCTAGGCGCTAGACTCTTGTTTACCGCTCAACTAGCCTTTTAAGACCTTGTAACTGTCCATGTTCAAAGAATTTGACGTGTTTATTGAGAAGAAACTTCTTGTTGACATTTATTACATACTCTAATGTTGTTAGTTGTTTTGAAAATTTATAGCCGTACGTTTTGTGTCAATAATATAAAAAAAAAGTAGAGTTTACTCATGCTATACAAATTTCTTCAAGGGGCGGTGGATGTTAGATAGATGGTGTTCATGCGTTTCTGCGGTTGCAAATGCGTGCTTCTGACCTTGGCACCAATAATTACATGCATGTTCACACTATTTCCTTGACCTTTCTTTGATCACAAACTTCATTTTAACTACCTCTACTTTTAATGTTGAAAACATGCTCAATGAACTACGATTACATTTCTGTTCGACACGTCTTTTATGGTAAACAAAGAAAGGACAAAGATTATTGCCACAAAGACTACTAACGCGGTTGTTTGACTTGCAAGTCTTCTCTTTTAAAATACGGAGAGATTAAATTTTTAAATAAAATTTTGTAAACTAAATAATATGTATGTTGATGATTAGATTATTAATTAAGTATTAATTAACGTGTTTATTTTTTTATTGATGACATTTCATTTGGTTTACAAATTTAGTTTAAAATTTGATCTTCGTAACATCATCTTGCAAGTGTGTGTAAAAAATTGAGATTCTATACCGTAAAATTAAAGATTCTTTAATTTACACCGATACAAAATGTGGGAAAAACCCACCTATCTACACTAGAATTAGTCATTAGCATTTGGAGGCCATGTAAGCAAAACTAGGCCTATATTTTTCTAGAAAATTGCATAGACACCCTTTAATAGAAACTAAACAACATTCTAAACATTTTAGTGTTATTTTTTTATGGAAGATTTTATTTGAATTCATATAACGTCTTTTACATCTAACTTACTGTCTACAATATTATTTTTTATTAACCTGTCAATATCTTTTAAACTCAAATTTGCTACCTAAGTTACCCCCCAATTCAATATATAAATTTGATCTTTACACTCATTTAGAAAAGAAAAAACTCAAAATCAATTACTACATTATTCAGCTTTCCTTCTTCAAGGATCCAACCAATCAACGCATATTTTCCTTTGA